GAGCAGCCCCATGCGCTGGATCCAGCATGTTCCCAGAACCAGTCTGGAGTGCAGCCAGCAGCATGGACCAACTCCAAGTACTACCTGCAATGGCTGAGTGGGACTGGTTTGGCACGTGCCACAGTAAGTCACAAATTTAGTTCAAAACCCATGGGCAGTGACCTGGGCCAAAAGATAGGGCTCTATGGGCTGTATCCAACACCTGGGCTGGTATGAATGACAGCCCTGCCTTCAATTATTTCCACTTACCTACCTTGAAAACTGTTTCAAATTCACTCAAAAAAAATCTGAAATGTGAACATACATTCAGCCATGGAGTCACAGAAATAGCCAGCTGAGTGATGATTAAACATTTTTGAAACTATTAAATTCAATCTTGAGATAGAAAAAAAAATAAAATATAGAGGGGAAAAACGGTTCTGACTAATATCGCACAGAAAAGAGATCTTGGTGTCATTGCACACAGCTTGTTAAAAACATCAGCTCAGTGTTCAGCAGCAGTCAAAAAGGCAAATAAAATGTTAGAAGGGGAACTGTACATAAAACAAAATGAGTCACCATGCCCTTTTATAAACCTGTGGGGCTTCCACACCTTGAATAGTATACAGCTTTGGTCCCCACACCCTGCAAAAGGATACAGAAGAACTAGAAAAGGTACAGAGCAAGACAGTAGTGGTGATCAGAGAGAGGCATGGAGATTAGGACTTTCATCTTAGAAAAAGAGAGATTTGAGAAGGGACACGACAGAAGCCTACAAAACATTGAACAGCACAGAGAAAGGGATTTATTATTTATGATCCCTCAAAACTGTAAGGAATAAATGGATATAAAATGAAACTATTAGAGACCTGGTTTAAAACCAAGACGAAGTTTTATCCCTTGGACTAGGGACAGACATTAAACAAACTGGTTTAAGTGGTCAGAAACCAGTTTAAACCTGTAACAGAACAGAAGTTCAGCTCATATAAACAGGTTTCAAAATGGCCAAAACCAGTTTAAGATAGATCTGGATGAATGCAGTATCATATTTAACTGATTTAGATTAAACCAGTCTATCACACTTCTTTCCCAGATCCCCTCCCAACTCAAGTTAACTCATAGTCCTCCAGCATCCCAGGATGGTTTGCATCTCCTTTGCAACCTCCCCTCCCCCCGGCAGGGTGGGCAGGCTAGCCTTTGCCCGTGCTGCCTGCTCCAGCTGAGTAGGGCCAGCCCTGCTCGCAGGCCATCACAGAGATGAGGCAGCAAAGCCTCTGTTCTGCAGCCCTGGTCCTGCCTGTACCTGTCAGCCCTGTGGGGTGGGGGAAGTGGGGCAACAGAGCCCCCTTCCCAATCCCTGGATAGGAGTGTTTCCCCTCAGGTGTGCACCCCGCAGTCACTGATGCTCAGGTGGAAGGAAGAGGGAGCAGCCCCTCCAGCTCAGGGCCAGTTTGGATCCTTGTGCCTTAGTGGGGGTTCCTCTGCCCTGCCACCTGGCCCCCACCCCCCGGTGCAGGGGGACAGTCCATCCAACCCAAGGCTGTGCCAGTGCCCCGCATCAGCCCACGTGGGGTGGGGATCCCAGTGGGCAGGGTCCCCTGAGCCCTGCTGCTGGTGCAGAGGGAGAAATCTCTGCTCCCAGCCCTCTGCGTGGTCCAGTGCTAGCTTAGCCTCACCCTGACGGGTACAGGAGGGGGGACGGTCCTTCCAGCCTGGGCCCGAGTTGGCTCACGGGACTCTGCTTGGGACGGAGCACAGAGACCTGGGCCGGCCCCAGGCTGGAGGGACTGTTCCCCCGCATCTGTGGGGGTGGGGCTAAGCCGATGCTGGACTGCAGCAGGAGGTGGGAACTCCTCTGCTGGCAGGGCTGGCAAGGTAGTGAACGTAGTAGATAACCTGCAAACTGGAAGTTCCCAACCCCAATTGCTAGACCCTGCAATGGGAGAAGGTAGAAAATTCTGGACATGCCTTTTTCACACACCCCTTCAGCATACAGTCTGCCACTATTCGAGAAAGGCTAGTGGGCTAGATAGACCTGTAATCTCACCCAGTAAATGGCATTTCTTATGTTCTTATATACATGACCCATCTTGAGTGTTTAGTATTTTAATAGTATTATTTAGTATTTTGAAAGTTTGTTAATCTCTCTTAATTGCATTGCCAACCCAATATTATATACTTTAAGCTATCCTACACCCCAATTATGCTGCCAAGCTCCTCTATTGTTACAGCCCCATATTTCTGACTTTCATGTTTCCAAAGCTCAAGACATTTCTTATGCTCTAACCGATCCATAATTCTGCTCCTCTATATCCTTCTTGAAAATTGCATGTTACCCATTCATACTATGACTGTTCCTTTTGTCTATTTTACCTAATACTATTTTGGGGTTTTTTGGCTGTTTTATATGCACACTTTTTTGCTCACCATGGAAAAGGCCCAGAACTTTAAAAGACCCTCCTGTTTCATGGTATATGGCTACATACCAACAACAGAAAACAAACAATGCAATACAAGCACAGGGTACAATGCCAGAGGGTACCTGGTTGTGCCTTTAGATTGTAATCTTCAGGGCCGAAATTAAATAGTAGATTTTAGCTGTTACATGTTACCATATATAATTATATACCTATACTACTAATAATCTTTAAATACATGCTTTAAAATAATGCATGCCACAATACTTTCTGAACCTGAATTTCTTGTGCAAGAGTCGGGATTGGGAAAAAGAGAAGAAAAAAGCCAAACAGGGCCAAGGTGTGCTTTCAAATATTGCAGGTCTTCTTCCTTTGAGATATTCTTGTTTATTAGATTTTACTAAAACAAACATCCTCTGTCTCTTTTCTATGCTTCCTTCCCCCACTTGCTTTTCTTAAATAAAGATTAAAAACTAGATAAAAATATCTGTATTAACACTTATACCACTAACCTGTATTATTTTTGTGATAGAAAAAATTCTAAACTGTAGCTATGTAAAGCCAGGTCAGTTTTAAAGTGATATTCATGACAGCTTATTCAAAGTTCTTACCACCCTGCCCTTAGGGGGAAAAAACCTATTAAAAAGTTTTCCTATTTTTTGTATAAAATAGTAACATTTACCAAATTATGTATTTTAGTAAACATCTCATCTCATAGTTATTTTAGCTCAGTTACAATTATTTTTAAATGCATCAGAATTAAAAACATTAAGTAAAATCTTTAGACAGAAAACAAAAACTCATTTTTTAATCCTTGCATGCAATAAAAATTACTGGTATTATCCAATTTAAATTGTTCACAAAGTCTATGTGAAAATAGGTGATGCTCGATGAGCAAGAATTATAAGTAAAAAGCTTCTTTGTGTTCAGACTATAATTTGTGTCACCTAAAATCTTAAAACATTCAGAAATTGATTCTTGCATTCATATTTTAGAAATGCATCCTTTTAAAAAATGTGTGTCAGCACCACCTGTGACCTTTTCCGAATGAATATAGCTTAAACATTTATCTGCTTTGTCTAATGGCCCAAATCTTCATTTCAATTAAAAAAAAATCCCACACCTGACGTGTTAAAATGGCAGCATAGCAATTCCGTTAAAAAAGAAATGACACAGAAGCTATGGTTATATACAATCCCATTTTCACTCTGAAACCCAGGAGTCCATGTTTTGCCCTTCATTTCTCCACCACCCCTAAGAATGAAAAATTAGGATACATACCTAAAATTGTTTAAGATATACATACACGCTAAGTTTTGAGGTCCTGCAACTGGTGATTTTAATAGTATTCTAATTCTAGTAAAATCAAAACCTTTCATTTATTCAGGGGTTGTAGGGATCGTGCATCAATTTTAGCAGCCAAAATAGATAATATTCAGGGAAATATTTAAACAAAGGAATTATGATAAACATAGGTCTTAACACAAAATTTTTATAGTAAGTTGATTTAGTGATCTGTAAATTACTGTATTATTGAAAGACTGTTATTTTTTGTTCCATAGTCACAAAGTTTCTATAGGCCAACATTAATTAATTTTACCAAGAAGCCTCATAAAATGCAAAAGTACAGTAAGAGCTTCTACATACATACTCTTGCTATTTGTTAAAAAAATGTAACCATCTACTATCTGATCCCATATAATTTACAGGTAATGAAGATGCCAAAATTACCAAGATGCAGAATAACAAAAATTAAAAAGCTACCAATGTCCTTTGATTAACACTAGATTTTCTTAAACAGCTTTCTGCTATAATAAAGCTATGATAGTTCAGGGCTTTGTTTGTTAGTTCTACAACTTAAAAAAAAAAAAAAACAACAACAACCCAGAAATGACATAGTCTTCAACAAATTATCAGTTCTCATTTCTAATCCCCACGCTCCCTGAAAAAACCTGATTCTATCATCTAAACTGGATTTACACGATACAAAAATGAGATTAATGCCTTGCATAGCTTTATAAATCTATCATGTCTTGTATAGCCTGTCCTCAAGCTGAAGACAGATGAAAGAGTCTATTTCTGGTTTAAACATGTATCTATTAGTTTCTTTATAAAAGAAAATATTTTAACTTTACTTAAACTTACTTACTATAATGACAAGAGGCCAGTAATGTAAGAAAAATACTTTTTAAATCTGATTAACTGAACAGGTTCTCTCCCCATTTTTGCAACCTATAAGCACATCATGCCTTTTTCTTAAAAATGATACATTTATAATGATTTTCTGATTCTGGCACTGGTTTTGTATTAATTTATAATGCTATTCTTGCTAGATTATTTTTATCAAACCAATCTGCCATACAATTACTGCTTTTTTTTTTTTTTTTTTTTAATAATCTGCCTTGAAATAAATGATACGTAAGGATTTTTATCTCTGTTTGTAACATGCTTATTTACATTTTCTATGCTAATGAATTAGGCCTAGAAACTGCTTTTGTGAAAAAATATAATTGAATATAATCATTGGCTGTAACCAGTCTGTAGAGGCTTTTTAAAGCTTCTTTTCAAAATATTTTTAAACATTATATTATAAAATTCACATACCTGCATCATACTGGCATTTAGCTTCATTATGCAGAGTTACTGAAGATAGGTTTTCCATAGTATCATATCAAGGCTCTATATATTGCTCCTTTTTAAGAGCTTACTGAACAAATACACTTAGTGGATAATTCAAGCATTTGTAGGTACCTGCTCAAGCAGTCTGTTAAGGCACTTGCTGAAGCCTGAGAGACAATAGAAAATCAACAGCTGTATGTTGTGATGTCAGTAACACTAGCCAGTCACCACACAGAAAAACTAAATGCATCAGAGGCTATATTGAGCTCTTCATTAGCAATTCAGCAGCAAGTGATGCAAAAACCTTGTGAAGCTGTGAATGTGTTATAAAATGGCTGTAGGGATTTTAATCGTTCTTCCCATTTAAATTCTGGGGCATGCAATCAGACTCTCTCCCACCAGAAAAAGTTTATACTATGCAACTCTTTTCTTCCTGCTAATTAACCCAAAAATCAATATTGAATGAAACCAGTGTTGTGTGCAGTATTCATTTTCCTCCTAATTCCATATACAAATACAGTCTAAATCTACTTATTCCATTTTATATCATAAACATTGGTATAGAAACACTCAAAAAATAATAATGCTATTTGTCTCTTAAGTACTTATATGGCTCTCGTCACAATAATATCTGAACATTAAGATCCAGATCCACAAAGGCATTTAAGTGCCTAATACCAATGAATTGAACTGGAATCTGTAGCTAAATCTAAGCTTTTGGACTGCCAAGTGCTTCTTTATTGCATTTTCAATTGCAAGGGGCAAATAAACTGTGAGTATATGTCAGTTTGGTTGCTCCATGTCTCTTGAGAAATTAGTTACTTCAGTATACCAGCAGCTGGACTCAGAAAGAGAACAAATGTCTAATGACAGCATTCATGCTACCCCAAGGTGTTTGCTGGATGAAGCTACTCACTCAGAGATTTTCCGAGCAATATATTAAGAATACCCTAAACCTGAATTGAGATACATGGCAGAATGGTAAACTAGAGCTTCTTGCACCTCTGGAACAGGGGATGTGTTTGGGCCTAGAACAGGACAACTATACACTTAAATGCACGAGAAAAGCTCCACCTATCATTTACTGCACTATCAGAGGACCAGGATTCCAGAAGTAGTACACCTCAATAAAGCTGTCATGACTAACATGCATAAAACCGAAATAACAAGGCAGTGTGGAGCTGAACTCAGTCTTCATTAATCATTGCTTCTACTAAGCATTTTAGCACATATCCCATGGCATGTTGTGGATGCCTAGTGCAACTTACAGGAGATTCAACTAGCAGACTCCCACAATTCCTCTTCTGGAAGCCATTACTTTGACTACTGCCCTTTTAAATTGTAGTCAAACAGCATGGAGGAAAAATTACAAAGTATCATAATCAGTACACTAGCCCAGGGGTGGGCAAAATGTGGCCCGAGGGCTGGATGCAGCCCACCAGGCCATTCTATCTGGCCTGCGGGGCCCATAAAAAATTTAGAAAATTAATATTTATCTGCCCTGGGCTCCCTGTCACGTGGCCCTCAATGGCTTGCCAAAACTCAGTAAGCGGCCTTCCACCCGAAATAATTGCCTGCCCCTGCTCTAGCCACACTTTCACTTCCCCATCAGTAATGAATCATAACTGCTATTGTTTGAACTCTGTATCCATTGTGAACCTGACCGGGTCAATCCCACTATTGCTTCATCCAAAAAAAGATCTGAGCAACAGATCCATGGGCAGAGGAGGGACTAAAAAGATGTCTGGAGAAGACAAGTATTATGCTGTCCATCACTATCACAGCCAATCAATCTCAGAAGCTACAGAGTGGGTAGACTAGTGGAAATATGCTGCTACATAGTCAGCTTTGTATCATCTGCAATTATACTCCACAGCATTAATACTGCTGAGTACAACTGGCCCAAAAACAGATTCTTCCTGCATAGAGTATCTTCCTTCACTAAGAAAAAAAAAACAAAACAAAACACTTTTCTCCATGCTCAAGTGTGATGGGACAAATAAAAGCAAATAGACTCTCTTTATAAAAAACCTTTTTGGAAAATCTCGAGAAAGGTCTTTCTCCATCCCACTTCAACTACATGATAGCACCAAGCCAACCAGCACATACACAGGTGTATAAACACAATGCATTTCCCCATGGTTCCTGCCCTCTAGCCCAACAGGTAGTTTGGCATAGGGGGTGGGAAGAGAATGAATTAGGAATAATAGTCTTTTTTCTGTTATCTTCAGAACTAGAGGTTCCACTTACGGGAGGGACTAAGATAAATATTCTTCAGAGAATTCAATGAAGAAAGAACTGCTTCGAAACAGCCAACATCTCCCAAGAGTCTCAAGGACATCCTGGCCTCAGTTTCTTTCAGGTATAATGTCTTCTTTTAAAATGGTTGCTCTCTCACTGTTCATAACAGAAGTGAATATGTGCTACAACTTGGGGAAAATGGCAGCCCCCTATGCTATAAGAAACCAAAGATAAGTACTCATAGTACCGGCAGAAGAAACCTGTGGGCACCTTAAGTCGTCGGTCCCAACCACAACAATGGATCACAAAAAATCTTGCCACACATCATTAGACACTGGTACTTGCCACGGAAAGGAAGTCTGCCAACTGGTATCACTACCAGAGGTCTTTTTGAATTAAATGATCATGGTAAAATATAAATGGAAAAATGTATACCAAGATGTTCCCACACTAGTAGTTGCATACCGCTTAAGTGAATTCACAGAGTGCTATACTCCTGTAAAATATTAATTTTATTCTAAAATCTGGAGCCAATTCAAAGACTCCACAAGTCAGCATAAAGCATTTATCGGCTAAACATTAACAGTGATCAGCTAATAGCTAGAGTGATCCTATGAAACAATTTGTAAAAGCTTCAGCCAACTAAATAATGTCTATATTATATATCCTTAGTCATTACAGATACAGACAGTAGGAAAGGATTAAACCATCCCCCCAAGATTTAACTTAAAATTTACCTTTCCAAAACCTGAAAAAAGCTACATTTAGTCAATGTAATTTAGCACCAAAAAGTATTCTATAGCACATAGTGATTATGTACCAGGGAGACCAGAGGGTGAGGGGCAAGAGGGAATGGGGAACAAAACAGATCTAAACAATTTTTAAAAAGCATGGAATTGTTCACTGAAGGTACAGATATGCATCAGATGTCTACTGTAGTGCAACAGAAAATTCCCACAAATTCCAAAACCACTGGTGTCAGCAGGAGGTATTGGTTATTTCCACTGCAATAAAACTAAAGCAAATATTAGAATACTGAGCAATCAATTCCTTTCTAAGCAAAAGGTAAGAAGTTATGATATTCTTAATACTTAAAATTAAGATTAGAGATCCTAATATTAGGAGACGCTAGGAAGATATATCAGTCTTTAATTACAATGTATGTATCATACAGAGAACCATTACCCAAAACTAATTTATTTCTTCTTAGACATGTAATGTAACAGATCCCCACTAGATGTTGTAATACACTCTAAAAAGCTAGGAGGAATGGCTTTATGCAAAGACTATGCAATGTGCAACTACGTACAAAGAATAGAA